TGCTGAGTAATATTCCATTGTGATTATGTGCCACAGTTTCTTAATCCATTCATCTGTTGAAGGGCATCAAGGTTGGTTCCACAGTTTAGCTATTTGTGAATTGAGCTGCTATGAACATTGATGTGGCTGTGTCATTATAGTATGCTGATTTTAAGTCCTTTGGGTATAGATTGAGAAGTGGGATAGCTGGTTCAAATGATAGTTCCATTCCTAGTTTTCTAAGAAATCTCCATACTGCTTTCTATAATGGTTGCACCAATTTGCAGTGCCACCAGCAATGTATCAGTGTACCTTTTTCTCCACATCCTTGCCAACACTTAATGTTGCTTATATTCTTGATAATTGTTACTCTGACTGGAGGGAGATGAAATCTTAGAGTAGTTTTGATTTGCATTTCTGTAATAACTAGAGAAGTTGAACATTTTTTCATATATTTGTTGATTGGTTGTATATCTTCTGAGAAGTGTCTGTTCAGTTCCTTAGCCCATTTATTGATTGAGTTATTTATTTTTTTGGTGTTAAGGTTTTTGAGTTCCTTATACATCCTGGAGATCAGTGCTCTATCTGATGTGCATGTAGTAAATATGTTCTCCCATTCTGTGGTCACTCTCTTCACATTATTTATTGTTTCCTTTGATGAAATATACTTCTCCATTTTATCACAGTATTTTTTTAAAAAAATTTTTAATGTGCTGAGGACTGAACCCAGTGCCTCACACACATGCGAGGCAAGCACTCTACTACTGAGTCACAACCCCAGCCCTGTATCACAGTATTTTTAAAAGTGGACTGTCTAGTGAAGTTTAATAAAATTGACATATTTTACTAGTTTATGAGGGGTATTTTAAAGTGAAAGTGGCTTTTTTTCCCCTTGAGTATGTGGCAGTAAAGGAACACATTAACAACTAATACAGTTCCATTTGCCTTGAACTGTGCAAAGGTGCCAGTGGTTTTACCCACCATTGTTTTTATGCCATCATAGGAAATAGCAGCATCTTAGTTATGTATTATTTACTATGAAAAGTTTTAACTTTAGAGTGCCCCTGCAAAGGTCTCATGACTCCCAATAATGCTTGGACCTTGAGAACCATTGTTCTCTATAAAATGTGAGGTGATGATTATATTGAGCAGGGTAACACAAAAAAGAATAACACTTTGTTCTTCAGTTTTAGTTACCTGGCAAGGAAAATAATGAACTAAATCTTTATTTGTTATACTTTAAAACAATAAATCAAAAGTCATATTTAAGAATAATTACAAATTGTTCATTCTCAGGTGTTATTTACTTTTAATCATAGCAAGATAAAGATTATTGTTTGTTTAGCTAACTTTGTTGTTTAATTAAATTCTATTAAATCTTTACTAGTGTATTTGAATTATATAAGTCTTTCATTCCCCAGTACTGCCAAAAAAAAAAGGAATTATATAAGTCTTTTAAGTCAAAGACCTAAGTTTAACCTGCATGTTCAGGTGGAACCATCTTTGACTAAGATAACAGCATGATTAATCTTAAGTCAGAGGAAAGTTCTTCATAGTTGCAGTCCCAAACCAAAAAAAAGGAGTACATGAATAGAATTTTTTCTACTCGTGAAAATAAACTGATTTTCTTTCAAAAACTAAAATTTTATATATTGGATAGTCCCTCATTTTTAAATATCTATGGTGTCCTTCTAATTTTAGTTTGTAATTACTGTTGAATTACTTAATGTTATTGAATAATTAACAAATTACTAATTAATAGTTACTTTCCTTGTTTTGACTCCATGGAAAGGGGACAACTGAAGCTCAATGTTTGAACTTTAGTAATACTTCTTTTTAATACTATAATTCTGCATATCCATTAGCCATCTCTTGAGTAATTTCATTGAGTTTTAGAATAGGTGATATTTTTGGCTTAAAATTCTAGAACTTGGGGCTGGGGTTGTGGCTCAGTGGTAGGGCATTTGCCTGGCATCCATGAGGTACTGGGTTTGTTCCTCAGCACCACATATAAATAAAAGATTTTGTGTACACTTAATACTAAAAAAAAATGTTTTAAATTCTAGAACTTGCCTAATTTTATATAAAGATATTAAAAATAATAAAATCTAATTATAAATTCTGATATATAAAGTGGAAGTTACAAAATTTTTATAAAATTGTAAAAAGTATCTATTTGTAAAATATTATTTTGAAGTTTTTTGAACCATCTGTTTTAATTTTTTTCCTTTTGTTCTACCTTTATGTTTTAGTGTGTGGGTTGACCTGTCTTCCCATCCCTTCATGAAGTTTTTTATATTTGAAATGATTTTTTTTTTCCTGCAAGGGAGATGAAACAATTCCATTGGAATTAATTCAGTGGGAGACTGCCATAACATTTATAAATTCCTTTAAGTAATGTTTCAGTTAAATGCTCTGCTCTTTATCTGTGCTCTTCTAGTTGCATTCTCCTAACGGCATTTTCCTGACTTCAGCCTACAGCGTTGCAAATAAAATCACACGATTTGGTTTTTATCTCTGTATGAGTTGTTGAAATAAAATCTGTCTGTGATCAGTAAAATGGTCCAGTTCACATTGAGCAGTACGTGAGACATAGTAATTCCAAAAGTATTTATTGAATAAAAGAATGAAAATTTTAAGTGGGGCACTAATTATTGATTCTTTAGTTCTGTGTAACAAATACCAGTTTCTATTATGCCTGTGATATCTTGTTATAAAGTAAACATTAAATTTTCAGGATATTAATACTTTTTCTTTTATGCATTCATTCAGCAAATGTGTGTGCATACATTTTGCATTGTGCACATATTTTTTACAAATGTTGTTAGTTTTCTATCTGAAACCTTATTTTAAAAATTAGAGAAAATTAACTTTTGGGGTTCTTTTCCTTGAGATAAGATTTTTTATCACAGTGATTTTAGATAGAATAATACCATATTTCTCAAGAACAGCTAAATATTTGATGTCATACTGGGATAGGTAAGGGTTTCTTTTTTTTTTAAGAGAAAAAGATTTAAAAATTTTATTCTATTTAAGAAGTTCTGGAGACGGAATAGTGTCAGGTAAAAAAAAAAATTGAGAACAAAACTGTTCTCTATGTTTGGGTAGCCCTGACCACTCTCACCCTAGGATCCAAGAAGAAATTACCCCCAGGCACACTTGAACAAAACTTAGTTATAAGAAAAATTCTTGTGTACAGTTTTTTTTTAAAGTGTTTTATTAGTTGTTAGTGGACCTTTATTTATTTTTATGTGGTGCTGAGAATCGAACCCAGTGCCTTACACATGCTAGGCAAGTGCTCCACCACTGAGCCACAATTCCAGCCCTCTTGTGTACAATTAATAAAATGCTGTGGCAGAGCTAAACTCTAGTGTTAACACCAGACTTCAGTTTTTATAACTTAATTCCTTTAGGATAAGTAATACACATGGCCCCAGGATATTAGTTTTTAAACTAGAAGTTATTAATCCTGACTGATCATTGGGATCACTTAGAACAGTTTTTTTCCCGTTAATTTAGTTTTACAGTTTTTATCAAATAATGCACAAAGTTCATAGTCAAACAGAACCAAGAAGCTTGTAACAAAGATAAGAATCACCTGCCGCATTCTGCTTATTCCTTAATTCTACTTTCTGAGATGGCTGTTTTTAATATTTGTAGTATTTCTTTTTGTTTATATGCCATATTTCTATGTAAGTCTTATACTGCTTCTCCTGATTTAACATTATTTATTTCCTCTTTGCTGGGTATAGCTTTTATATACTCCTTTTATATACTCCTGTACATCTTCTAATCTAATTGGGGGACATTATCCCCCAAATAGAGTTAGATATGTCCTTCCTTTATATACCCTTAGTAAAAAGAAGCCCAAAACCTTTACTTTACTCTGTAGTAGCAGAGTATTAACTTGCCTGCTTACTTATCTAGACCCCTTACTAAACATAAGTTTATTGAAGACAAATACTATTTTTTGTTATAGAATTGAAATTCCTTAATCTAGCATATGGTAAAATTTAACAATCTGATTGCTGCCTGTCTTTTTAGCCCTTCTTGTAGTCTCTGTGCCAACTCCACCATAGTGCCACAATCTACTTTCTGGGCTCTCTTCCTTTGCTCATACAATTTTATTTTCCTACCCAAACACTCTTACTCATCTCTCTGGAAGACTTACCACATATGTGTCTAACTTAGATTATTATATCTTCAGTTAAATCTTTCTGGATTGCATGAGCAAAAATAATGGGACTCTCATTTTTATTCCTAGTGTTTAGTATACTGTAATAGTTAGGAGACTGTATTAAGGCTTGAAATCTATCCCCATTCCATCATTTACTAAGAATTTGACCTTACATTAGTTAATTTCTTCAAACTTCAATTTTTCTAGGCATAAAATGGAAATAATAATAATGTTATGATAAGGATTTTAGAATACACACATCTGTACATAAAACCTGTAGCACAGTACTTGAAATGAATAAGTGCTCACTAAACATTAAATGTTATTCTGTAATACTTTATATCATAGGTGAGAATTGCTTCACTTATCTTCATGGCTGACCTAAGTCCATTAGGGTCAATATCAGTCTTATTTAATTATCATAGCTTCACTTTCTAGCATAGTACCTGTCCCAAGACTAAATGGATTGTTATTGACATCCATCAAATGAGTGGTTATGAATTCATTGTTTCTTGTTACAATTGTTTTGCAGTGATTTTCGTTTTTATCACAAAAAGAGAGCATATTTCTAATGCTTTGGCAATGCTTGGCACATACAAGATCCTTAATGCATTTTGCATTTCTTAAGACATGAATAGACTCAGGGTGGTAGAACCATTTACTGTACTGTTTGTAGTGTGTCTGTTCACCTCTTCGCCTTTTTCCTTATGCAAATATTTCTCTGGTTAGTATGCTATAGTAAAATAGTTTGATCAAATGTTTCCAGTAGCTCTAGTGATCAAAAGAAATTTTTTTAAAATAGAGGTTTTATTTTACTGAATAACGTGATAATTTTTCTTTCCAGAAACGAAATCCTGAAGTTCGGCATGTAGATTTGGAGATACTTTAACCTTGATGGGGTCTTGGAAATGAGCTTGTCAAGCCATTCTACAAAGCACGTTTTCCTGCTTCTTCCCAGACTAAAGGAGTCAGCGCCATTCAGAAGCCATTTCCTTTTTCAAGACAGAGGAAATATTTTATGTAAAGAGCAATTGAACAGGCCACAGAACTAAAACTTCTTTCTTCTAATCATGTTTTTTGTGCTTCAGTAGGGGACACTTTGGTTATTTCAGTTGTTCATAATTTCATTTTAGCCTGTCAGTGTGTATTATACCTTGCAATCATGTTTCCTTTCTTCACATTGGTAAAAAATAAGTGGCATCCATAGGATTATAACTTTTAATTTTGTTCCTACTGAAGATTTTACTCCATCAAAATCTGCCAATCTTGACTATTCTGGCTAAATTTGGTTCAGGGTTTATAAACAGTCACTCTCTTTCAAAGTCTGTCTTTCCTAATACAATGTAGAAATTACTTCTTTCTACGCACCTTGTTATTTTGACCTGAGCATTGAGAAGAGTCCTTCTTTCCTAACCTAAACTCTTTATCCAGATATTCATTCCAGAAGTGGTTTAGTTATTACTGAATTAAGTGAAGACATTTCAGTACTCTTTTATATCATAGAAGTTGCCGTTTTGTAAAAATTTCTCATTTCTCTTTTTTTCCCTTATTTGGTTTAATTTTTCTAAAGTTAAGAGATATAAAGTAATCCTAAACATTTCCATAGGCCAGTGTATGGTTGTTTCTTTTCTTTTCTCTCTCTCTTTTTTTCTTTCTTTCTTTATTTGGGGGGAGGGGGGGATAAACCGGCTTCAGTACTGTAATGTTTATTTTCTGGGAGATAATGCATTTATAAGCATTTTAATATTCTGCAAAATGAACTAGAAATATTTATAATTTTACAGACAGGACAGCATTTCATTTTTAATTTATTTAAATGGAGGCACTACTTATGTAAATTTGAACTGTGGGATATTTCTTGCTTTGAGAGAGAAGTAAATCTCTTACACTGAAACTTATGTCATGATTTTGTATCATATGGTAGTCGTCAGTGTATCTGTGAGTTTCTTGCAGTTACAAGTGGGCATTCAGCATAATATATTGGGCTATAACATATTATTGTAAGTAAATAGTTTTCTAATGACCATAAAGTATCAAGGTGAAGAAAACATGTAGTTCAAGTAATTAAAAATTTTAGTGAAAAACTACAGCTGTCTCCATCAAAACAAGTCATATGCACTTTAAAATGTCCAGGTAACAGTGAGCATTGTTCATGCCAGAATGGTGGCTACTGATCTTTGCTGAGTGAGACCTGCAGACCTAATTACCTGTGTGAGGTCAGGGTCTTAAAGCTAATATGGCAGTTTATAAATTATAGCAAATTGTAATCCTGGAAACAAAAAAATAAATCTTTGACTAAAGGGTTTGTTTTGGTAATTTTTAATCTAGTACTGTCATTTACTGGAAGATTGTGAGAATTGACATTGTACTTCTTTTGGTAATGCTCTACATTTTAAATAAGGTAACAATTCAGTTTTATTTTAATATATAAAATTGTTGAGCTGGGGATGTAGCTCAGTAGTCAAGTGCTTGCCTAGCATGCATAAGGCCCTTGGTTCAGTTCTCAGCACTAGAAAAAATAAACACACACACATATATTTCCATATATCCAACATTTATCATTTGATTATCTGTCCTTATACTTTGATTCCTCATCCCTAGTTTTTTTAATCTTTATTTTTTACCTGTTATGATTACCATGCTATACATTCTGCCTTCTTTCTCCATCCCCTTTCCCACCTGCCATTTGTTACTATATGTCATTGCTACATGGGTTAGTCCAAATTACATACAACTTCCTACAAGTAAAATTACTCTTAGATTTTTCACAGTTAGATAAGAATAATTAACTTGTTTTTTAAGTTTTTTAAGAGACTATCAAAGTTGATGCTCAGAAGTTATTCCAATTTTTTTTTTTAAGAATTCTCTAGAAAAGGCCAATTCCTACTATGTCTTCAGATTTTCTAAACTGATTTTGGTTGAGGTCATACTATTCTTAAGTAATTGAAAACTTATGTTGCTGTTTTTTTCTACTTCTAATGTGTTAAAGTTTGTTTACATAAATTTGACACAAAGGAGTGCAAATGTCTAGAAATTTGGAGGATTGCTGTGAAATCAGGAAATGTGTTCTATCCTTTTTTTCTTTTTTCCTTTAAACTAGAGTCACATTGCAAATTTAAAACCAGGGGATTTGGGGCCTCTTTCTTTAAGACAATATCTTGTTTTACCAATCTCTTGTTTCTGTCTTTTATGTCTTCCTCTGGTCCTCCATTGCATTTGAACATTTAAAGTGTATAATTTTTTTTTTTTTAGTTATAGTTGGAAACATTTCTTTATTTTATATTTATGTGATGCTGAGGATTGAACCCAGTGCCTCACACATTCTAGGCAAGCGCTCTACCTCTGAGCCACAATCCCAGCCCTAAATTTTTTTAAAAACTTTTTTGGGTACCAGGGGATTGAACTCAGGGGCACTCAACCACTGAGCCCTATCCCCGGCCCATTTTGTATTTTATTTAGAGCCAGATTCTCATGAGCCACTGGGATTACAGATATGTGCCTTAAGTATATGAATTTTAATGTTTTCAAGGGAAATATTCTTTGTTGGAGAATAATTACAGAATTAATGTTGGACAGAATGGAGGAACAGTCAAGGACCCAAGTTGTGATATATCTGTTTTCAGCTTTTGCTGTTAATGGATCTCTAGCCAACTAGACATAGCAGCCCCAAACTTTCTTTATAAGTACATTTTCAGATTATGGCTATGGGAAGATAAGAAGTGAGGACCTATTTTTAAGTGGAACATCTTGGTGGTCATTAGCATTCAATTTCAGAGAGCTATGTTCTGGACATGTACTAAGGAATCTGTGAGAATCAGACTGGAGATTTTTTTTAATTTTTCAAAAACAAAATCTTTGTACACACACACACACACACACACACACACACACACACACACAGACTCTCTCTCATTTGCCCCAAATCACCCAAAATAACAAAATGTCATAAGTCAGGTTTTTCAACATACGGTTTTCACTGTTCTCATAATTATCTCATAATTTGGATAATGCTTTTGCTAAAATTACACCCTCTAAAGAAAGGCTTATGTTTTAAATCTGATAACTTTTGAGGTAGAATGCTGGGAACTAGAGAAAATTGCAAAGGCATTTGGAATTTATATTATCTTCTTAGATTGCATTTGTCAAGCCTTGGCAGCATTTCTTTTAAATGTGATGACCCCCAATTTGCCAAACTGTCAGGAGTCAGTGAAGCAAGGAATTGAAGGTAAAATGTTGATTCAAAGATTGTCTCCCCTAAATCCCTCATCCCTGCTTCAAAATGGAACTTTGGAAGGCATTTATATAGAAGATTGGTCTGACAGCCTTTATATTTGCATTTTTTTACTTGCATCCCTAGACTTGGTTTTATGGTAAAAGAAATTTTTCATTTCTATTACATTATAATTCATTTGTCTGATTTCATTGGCAGATTAAGATGGTACTGGTCCCTCAGGATGCTTTTTTTCCTTAATAAAATAAGAACAACTCACTCAGTAATTTGGGACACTTCCCCCCCCCCGTCCCCCATAAATGAAAATTTGTTAAACATAGATGTTTCTTTACCTCATGTACTAAGAATTAAACTGTATTATATGGTATATTTTACCCTAAAACTCATGCCTATGTTTTTTGAACAGATTTTTTTATTCAGTATGCTTGTTAATTTGTAAGGTTTTCCTGGTTTTTCGAAACTACACTTTAATTATTAATATACTCTATGATGTCATATGTTTGGTAAAATACAAATCCAAAAAGTTATATCCCTTAGTGATATGTATTGTGCAATTTGACAAAATTAGATTGCTTAATATTTTAATTAAGCTGTATGTATATGTAACCAGAGATCAATCCAGAGCCTAAGTATGTGTTCTACCACTGAGCTACACCCCCAGCCCACAAAGCTATTTCTTCTGAGATGTGTTTAATATCTTATATTTAAATAAAAACACCAAAAGGTACATCCTAGAGCCAGCCTATACTGCAGTTCAAGTTGAATTCTATACTAATCCTATAGGAATTCCAACTATATTTTTTTCCCAGAGAAACTAAACAATTCAAAGTAATTTGGAATTTGGGAAGGGTATAATTCCCTCTTTATATTAAAAAATCTATTGAAAATAGAAGCAAAAGAGTTTAGAATTTGCCTAGCCAAATACAGAATCCTTTGTATTCAAGTATTTACAGAAGCTTTAAAATAAGAGTTAAAAGTAAAAACACACCTGTTTCTATTAAGATAGTTACCAATAGGATAATTTAAGCTCTTTATGCCAGATCCTGTTTTATGTGTACCAACACTTTTAATCCTCACAAAGAGCCAGTGAAGGGCTGTTATTCACATTTTTGCAAATGAGGAAACAGATAAAGTAGTTAGTGTCTGAGGCCACTCAGCTGTTAAAGGACAAGTCAGGATTTGAATTCAGTGTGGTTCTCACTCAAAGCATATGAAATAAAATGTTAATGGAAGGTAAGGCATTGCCAGTCATTTAAGAATTATTTATAGGCCATCCTAGAGACCATAGGCTAAAGATTATATTTAGTTCAATTGTCAGTCATTGATTTGAACCAGGAAGAAAAAAAAATTAAGGAAAGATGTGGAATAGCATTAATCGAAAATTTTGCAGTTTTGTGATGCTAAGGATTGATTTCGGGGCCTCACACATGCTGCTCACTGAGCTACACCCACAACCCCAAAATTTAAAAAAATAAAATTGTATAGATAAAACATTCATGATTCAAAATTAAGATTTTTCTCACATTGTCCCAACTCTGACCCCAGCTACCCGTTTTTTTTTACCTAATAACAACTGATAATTGTAAGTTTGTGATGTATCCCTACAGATATTTGACATCAATATTCTCACACACGTTTGTTACGTATATTTCCCTTCTATTAATATGGCAAAATACTGTATACAATAATAAACTTCATAATTTACCTTTCAGGGTTGGGGATCAAACTCAGGGCCTCATGCTTGGAGGCAAGTGCTTTCTACTGAGCAAAATCTCTAATCTCTGTCTCATCATTCAAAAAGTGCACAATTTCCGGAGTTTTGCATTCACTTAAAATTACTAAATATTTAAGAAGATGTACATTATAGTGTTATGATTTGCCACTATTAATGTTGGGCTATATTAAATAAAAATCCACTTCTTTAGTTGCATTAACCATATTTTCATA